CATGGCCTGGTGCCAGCGTATGGCCTCTCAAAATCCTCCAGCCCTACTCATCTGGGGAGTAGGATATTTGGGGTGCATGTGCACATGGAGAACCCAGGCATCTGGGGCACATGCACACATATACATACAAACACACTTGGTGGGTGCAAAGTGCACTGGGTGGGCATGTGCGGAATGGGCAAGCTGAAGGCTTATGGCCATGATGAGCCACTGCAGGTCCAGGTGGGGTGGCCATGATGTCTCCACCAGTCAGTCAGAGGTGACTTGGCTGTTCAGCTCTGCTCAAGGGTCTCCATCAGCCCAGGGAGCCTGCCGGGCATGCTGAGAGGAGTGTGAGAGCCGCCCCCCCTTCTCTGCTCAGACCATGCAGACAGGTTCTGAGCACCGCATCTCCCCCCTCCCCACCCCGGGTTAATGTGTGTTCTGCTTCTTCCTGACCTAAACAGAGGCTTAGGAATAAAGCTTGAAAGTTAAAACACTACAGGTTTCTTGAATACCTGTACTTAGCTTAAGGCAGCACTTTGCCCTGCCTTCTGCATGATTCACAAGATGAACCCAGAGATTTCCATTAGGAATCCATAGTGTCAAAAATATTCTGACCTGTTGTGGCCTTTCCAAGTTCTTTGCAGCAGAAGAATTGCTTGATTATTTTCCCATAGTGAAGAAGCAAGTAAAATCCAAAAGCTGGAGTTTTCTGAGGGGTGCCTTAAGTCCAATGAGGGGTGCCTGGAGTCTGAAAATGTTGAGAACCACTGCTTTTATCATTAAGTATGTAAGTAATTGTATATATCTGAGTAGTCTATCCTGTAGAAAGAGACAGGTATGGGAGTGACTCTGCATATGAACAGTCCCTTTGAGCAGAATGGCTTTACTCAAAGACATATGTTTTGGCAGGATTTGGAATTGATTTTTTTTCTTTTTGTCTTGAAGTACTAAAGTTACTCATGTACTCAAATGTTTACAGGATTGGGCCCAAAAATGGTGAAGTCTTCATATATATTTACTGACATCTTTAAAAAATTGCATTTAGATTTGTGTTGCAGGATAAGTATGTATTTTACATAACATCATGAACAGTCCCTGTAATAGTTTATTGTCCACCAGAATTGCCAGAAAGCCTCAGGAGGGTAGGCATTGTAATAAGAAAACACTCGGTTCCAATGTCTGATCCCTTCAACATCTTCTTATCTGAAGTGTGATTAGGAATTTCTGTTTTAAGTGCTACATGTAAACCTTATTTAGTTAGATTTATAAAAAATAACATGTTAAAATAGTGTATGTATATGGTATGGATTTAATACCAGTTTTTATTTTTAAAAAACTTCAATTCAGGTTACATTTAGCTGAGTAGATGAGTAGACAGTTTGAAAATTATAGTAGGTATCAGACTGCTGCAATTTGAAATGGTTAGGATTTCCAACTCTGTCCTAGGAGGTGTACAATGGTCAAGGGTTTCTAATACAAATGGAAGTAAAACACTAAACCATTATGAAAGCAGTTTTTGTAATAGGTTTGGTAGAATTTCTAACATTTAAAACTCAAAATATGAAATAAATTAGTCAAATTTATTTTATCGCCTAGTCATTCTTCTCACCTTTGAGCTACAGTTGTCTCATATTTTGGGGAGAAAAAGGGGCTGCAATCTTGAACATATAATTGATAGGAATGCTGAATAGAAATAGCTATATACCAGTAGCAACAACAGCAATGAATTTCTATACTAGATAAAATAAAATCTGTTTATCTAGCCTACTAAATCTGTGTGCCAACTTCCAACCAGATGCAGTTTTAAGCTGCATAGATATTAAATCCTGAAACATTTGGTCTATAAACAGAAAAGCTGACATCAAATATAGCGTTGCTGCTAGACATAGTAATGGTGTATATACTCTATTCACATAAAATAGAGAGATGATTGTGTTTTTGTGTGTTGCTTAGTTTTTTTCTTATGTTAGAGTATTAAAACAGATATTAAATTTTATCATTAATGCAGTGCATGGTCTCTCTTCAAATCCCCTTAATTACAGATTGACTCCAAGGATTAGACAGCATGGATTTTAATTTTAACTGAAACAAAAAGAAAAGCTGCTTAAAAATTATTCTTGCCGAGTGACTTGTTGGACCACAAAACAATTTTAACATCTTTTGACATGCAGTGTTGTCAAATTGAAACCATTATGACAAAATGAAATGTTCCTTTAAACTCAGATTGTATCATGACTACTTCCAAAATAAAATGTTTTGTTAGCTCTGTCCTTACGAAGGAATGTCTGCCTCTTATAGTTTTGTTTTTCCAGTTATTCTTCCAAAAAAAGAGACTTGCAGTCTTGCTGGGGTATGTTTATGTTTGAAAGAAAATGACATCAGACTTCATGGTTCCTCTCTTCAGTAATTTGAAAAAAAGATTGCCTGGTAGAGTTTTACTGTAGCAGCAACAGCATAATTCACACCACTAAATTGTTTCCATACTCATCCCCTATCTTGAGGCTTATGAACTCCATAGTAAAAACTTCATTCCAACCTGAAACTCAGAATAGCAAATCTAAGTCTAGAAACAACATTTTCACAAATTCAGGCATAATCCAGTAAATCTATTCGGGGGACTATTTGTGTGAATATGTGTTGCTCGCAGGAGTAAGACTTGCAGGATTGAGGTCTTGGTTTGATATATGGTGTGGTGTTGATTAAAAATAAAATCAGGTTATCAGTTTAAGATGCTTGTTTCAATTACCAGAAACTGCTTTGTCCTTCACAACAAAAATTATTAAAGTGTATTACAATTCTTTGTTTTATCAAGCACCACAGAACTAAGCCAGAAGACATGTAGAAACCGATAGTCCCTGTCTAAAGTTATTTACAGGTATGTCAGTTAACAAATCCAATAATGCTGAGTGTCTGCAACTGCTATTGAAAGTAGTGGCAATAGTAAGCATTTATCACGTCTCAGAATCAGGGCACGATTTTTTTGCTTCAAAAATCAGCTGCTTTTGTGCATAGGTAATAACTTTGAGCACAAAGACTTGGAAGGATGATGGTGTAGTTGCATGATGTGTAAAGTTAAATCTATCATTCACTTTTTAATGGTATTCAGTGACTTGGTAAACTTGACTGACTCTAGTCAATCAGGTTAAAATCATACCTTCTAAAATATTGTAGTTTAAATCACTTAGCAATTTTCTACAAATTCCTTTGGTCCAAATTTTAAAAACTGAATCTTTGTCCTTTAACAGAAAAGGACATGGAGTTATACATATAAGATATGGAAACCAGGATTCTTGTTGCATCTTACAGTTCTCTTCTGCTGGTTAAAGAAAGCCTGAAAAGAAGTAGATGGTATTTTTATTTTTAATTCTATTATAAACCACTAGGAAAAAGGCTGTTCTAAAGGTATAATTCCTTCTTGTGCTTATGCAAAATTATGTTAAAATGATGTTAAATACAAGGTAATAAAACAGTTAATCTGTGTATAATATTGACATGTTCTTCTGAATATGCACCATTATGTACAGCAGTCTCAGAATAGTGTATTGTACTATAGACCTTATGTGTTGTGCTTGACATGGGGGAAGGGGGTTAAGAAAAATTAATGCTAAGTGGGTGAATCTGTGTTTTATGACCACAGCATTAACATTACATATACTTTTGTTTACTATTGCTCTTCATATATGAGGTGATACTGGGCAAGGAGAGAATCCTAAGAGGACAAAAGTTAGATGTTTGTTTTATTTTCATTACCGTCTGTTGCTTCTTGTTAGCTACACAGAATGCGGGTTGGTCAATCCTACCCTGACACACTTTTAATAACACGGTAGAAAATAAAATTCATAGCTTGCATGAATATGGATTTCTATAATACATAAATGTCAAGCTAAAGTGGCCTAAAATGTCTCCCTGTAAAAACTGACTTTTCTTGTGCAGTGATTTCTGGAGTCACCTTTTTTAAGGCCTGTTATTGTGAATGACTAAGTACCCTCAAATTTCCATGATAGCTAGTAGGAGGTAAGGATGCTCACTCCTGGCCAGTCAGATGTTTTGAAAAAATCCCTTTCCTACTTTGAAAAATTCCAGAAAAAGAAGGAAACCTGCTTGTGTCCTAAAATAAATAAATGCATGCGTGAGCGCTGTCTCTTCTGAAGTAGTGCACATGTTTGTTTAACTTAGAGCTCAAGGCGCACATTAAGTCTGGTGTCTGGTTTTTAAAACAGTTCGGTGTATGTAGGCATCTATTTCAAAAAGCAAATTGTTCTAGAATCCTGAGATTGAGACTGATGGGAAAAATCAGCTTTTAAGATAAGTAAAATTTGTCCTGGTTTTGACTGGCACTGTCCTTTTAGCAAGACAACTGTTTATGCAAGGGAAGGCAAGGATTCCAATCAGCTTGGGGTATCGAATTTCAGGAATTTTTGGTTAATGTGTCATATCTTTTTATGTTTAGGTTATGAACCAACTGTCAACTTTGAGAGAAGGCTGGATGGTTTGGGTCCAGGGTTTTAATTTACCTGATTGTGAAGATGAAATATTAGCTGTGTTTGTATTGGTTACATTTTTGTTAAATGATTCCCCTTTTTTTTTCCGTTTGGCTGCCTAAGCAGAGACTAATTACATAATTGTTGGGGAATTGTTCTGCTTTTGCTTTCCGTACCTTTCTGCTAGCTAGTGCCAGTACTTCTTCATGGCTGTTAAACAGGATGTGCAGTTTCCTGGAATAGCTGATTTACAAGTTAGTACTTTTCAGTGTTGCATGTATTCTTGCACAATAATCCAAAAGCACAGATCTTTTATTTTGTGTTCTTATCCTCTTTTCCTTTGGATTAAGCCTATCTGTTAGTCATTACAAAATTCCCTTTCATAGTTTTTAGCTGAAATGGAATAATGGAGACAAGCAGTGTTCTTAGTGAGTTTTAGGGGAGAAAGAGAAAACATTCAATTTGGTAACCTGGTGCTTGCGGATACATGAGAAAAAGGATCTGGAAAATAAAGTAATTAACAATAAACAACTCTTTATTTTATGTGGCTAATTTTAATTGACTACATTTGAAAAGGAATGAAAAAATGATCTATTTGCTTGAGATTTGCCAAACAATGCTTTAAGCTCAAAGTTATTTTGAGGTGGTGAAAGGTGAAACATTTGACATTTTCTTTTTGGGCACTGCTTTAAAAAAGGAGAGGGCGGGAAAGAGGCGTTGCCACATCAGAGTTAAGGGTGTTTGTGGTTGTCCGTGACAGCGGCTCCAGTTTTAAAACACCTGTGTTTACTTTCCAGCTTTTCTCAATCTGCCTGAAAGTGGCCTAAGAATGACACAGACAGACCTGCATGTGTTGCCTCTGCAGTAGAAGGAAAAAAAGAGAGAGAGACAAAAATCAGACCTCTTTATGCAGCTAATCATTAACAGCACTTTTGTCCCTAGTTGAAAACACTTGGACTTTTTCTTACATTTAATATGATACCAGATAATTCCTGGAATTTTTTTTTTCTACCTGTGAAGCTCATTTTAATCTTACTAGTAACTTGTCTTTTCAGCAGAACTTTCTAATATTTTGACTTTTACAGCGTATAGAATGTTGATGACAAAACATCGGTTTTTTTGCCAATGTATTACAGATTTGAATACTAAAAAATAAATACCTCTGTTGTTTTTAAAAGTGAATTGAGAAAGTAACTAGATAGGGCTTTTAGTTAATTTATGATGTTCTAACCATAGCCAATTGCTTGCAAAGGCTTTATTAAACATATTATATTTTTAAAAAATGAAAAACAAAACTTCAGCTATAACCCTTTTTAGAATGGAAGATTTTATTTTACATACATCTATTACTTTAAAAATTTAACTAGCCTATCTGCATTTTATCATTTAGATAAAAAAAATTCCTGCCCTCTTGTTATAGCTTAGAAAATTAAGCTACATGGCATCTGGATTGCTTTGTCTCTTAAAAATTACCTACAGTAGATTGCGTGCTCTAAAAATGTTGAAATTTAACATGCATTTTAGTGATTTAGACAGTTTTTAAATATTTGCTTTGGTTTAATATTAAGAAATGTATGTTGTGCGGATTGGATGCTGTGTTTGTCTACTAATACTTCTAATTGCCGTGTATTGTTCCATTTTAATATTACTGGCATGGTTTTGAAACTTCTTGAGTTCTTTAAGAGTTATTCTCTTTTTTTAATTAGGTAGTCTCTTTTCTACTCAGATAACATTCTCTATATGACATACAATTTAAAGTATTCTTGATTGTAAAATTATTATCTCATTATTGTAGTGATATTCCCTAATAATTCAAACTCTTTTAGTTTTCTTGCTTTTTGAAGGAGAGTGAAGGAAAACATAGCTGTGATCATAAAACTATATACTGTGTCTTTGTTGGCCTTGATTCCTCTTAGACGGCTGCCGGGTCAGTATATAGAAATAAACAACATGAAACCCTTAATCAAGATCATTAGGCCCAAACACAGTTAGTGTAATAAGGTTGTTTTGACTTAGCAATAGGGTAATGTGTCAACCCTCCAAGACTTGGCACTTCCTCAAGACTTAGAAATGGTACCACAATTATCTCAATTTACCAAATGTAGGAAAGAGGCAACCTTTCCACCGTGTTCCAGAAAGTGATTAAATAATAATATTGCATCAACAGTACAAAAAAGCACTGTTCTACTTCAGTACATAAAACGATATTGGTACCGGCATATGTTTTGGTGCAAGTTGCTTGCTCCCTTTCTCGCCACAGAGTACAAGCTGCACATATATATATATATATGTATACCAGGTATATACCAGGGAAAGAACTGAAACAATGATCCCAACATGAATCAAATGAAAGACTCCTGAGAAGAATTTCTGGGACAGACATGCATTGATTTTGTTGATAACACTGTTAAGATCACTAAAATCAGTGTCGTTATGCTCAGGCATAGTGCCCAGCATTTGAAATAAGCAAAAATAGGACAAATGATAAAAATGGGGCACTACTTAAATTCAGAAATCTCTCCAAAGGAATTTAAATGGCATGCCTCAGCAATGAAGTACCATATTTATTGATTCTAAAACAAGGTGTTTTTTTCTTTATTTAACAAAGGGGGAAGTCCCTTGTCTTAGAATCGTGTGTGAGGGCAATACAGGGGAGTGGACTGGCAGCCCCTGTGTCTCTGGCTTCAGCCCCTACCTGGGGTCTGGCCTCAGCTGCTACCTGCCTCTTCCATCTTCCCTGCCACCTCTGCACCCCACCATCTGCCTCCTGAGGTATCTTCTTATCTCTGGCTGCCCCCAACACACACACACAGCCTCTATTCCTCTACCTGCCCCTCTCCCTCTCCCCCTGCTTACTCAAGCTCCATGCACACTGCATCCTTGGGCACTGCCCAGCCCAACCTATAGCAGCATGGCGCCAGCCCAGCCCATAGCAGTGGCACCTAGCTCACAGGGCTGCTAGGGTGGCTAGGCTGGGGCTATGTCCAGTGCCCCAGGCTGGAACAGGGATGGAGCCTGCCAACATGGAACAAAAGAAAGAATGGGGGAGGGAGGGAGGAGATGAGAGGCTGAAGGAGAGGGGGAAGGGGGGAGTAGAGGCTGGGGGGGAGAGGCAGAAGGAGGAGGTGGGGACTAAAGCTCTGGGGGAGCAGGCAGGTGGCAGGGGCAGGCATAAACAAAGAGTAAGCTGCTTGACCCACCTGCCTCTTCACTGCCTTCCCTTCTGCAGTGGTGATGGGTATGAATTAAGGGTAACCCCTCCAATAATTAGATTCTATACATGGAAAATTATAACAAATTTGTAAATTTTCATCGTTTTACTTTCAGGGCAATCTTAGATTTGAGTAAAAATTGTATTTGACTCGCTATGCTACCAAAAATAAATGGATTTTTTAAAAGAAAGCAGATTAGAACAGTATATGTAAATAAATAATTTTGGAGGCTGCATGTCTTTCTAAAAGTGGACTGCCAAACCTGGATAGGTGTCAGGGCCAGATTTTCAAAAACATCTAGGGCTGCATCCAGACAAGTGGGGCCATGTCGTATATGGTGCTGCAGACCATCTGCGGCACCACACCACACATTCAAGCATTCCCTGCACTGCTGCCCTACAGCATGGAGGGGGTTTTTGACCCCAGGATTTCCTGCGTGGAAAACCCATGCCCAAAAAAAGTGGGGCAGTGCATGCAGCAGCAGTGTGCACCACCTAAAACTGGAGCCTGATCCACTGGAACAATGCTCTGGCTGCCAGCCACGCTTTGAGCTCCAGGAGTGCCGTGCCTGCAGCTTCCCCAACCTCTAGGACCCCAAGTAAGGCTGCTGGTGCCAGCAGAGTTGCTAGCCCCAGCCTCCCATACCCCACCCGGGGTAACCTGCCACATGCCAGAGTGCGCGTGGCACAGGCATTTCTCCGGGACAAGTAGCAGTGACACAAGGTATGCCACTGCTACTTGTCCCCAGGGAACCAGACGTCCGCGCTCATCTGGACACAGTGTATGAGTCTAGTCTGTGACACTGTGTAACTTTAAACTGTTTTAAAAATGGAGGGTCTCTTGACACTCAGAAACATACATTAGAGATCCCCGTTTAACTGTTATCTGTCCACTTGTGTACCAACAGAGAAACTAGGCTAGTTTCTGTCAGGTGTTGGACTAAATGATTTCCCGAGGACCCTTCCAACCCTAGCTTTCTATGATTCTATGATTAAACCTAATAAAATGGATTCAAAGTTACAGTGGTTTCATTCCAGTTATATTGTTGTAGCAGCAAACAGATGTAAAAGCTAAATTGGAACAGATCACACCAGTGTAGTTTAATATTTTATTAAATATTGTATTAGTCACATCACCAGACAATGTGTTCTGCCTTCAGTTTCTTGTGGTATTCCAAAATCTGGGGTGGGGAGTGTTTCCTTGTTTTCAGCTCTAGGAATATGGTCCTATTGGAAACTTCCCAGCCAGCTGAGTTCAGTCTCTGACTTGTCTTCTACAGTTATCTTGTCTGTGAGGCCAAATTAATTAGGAACACATACTGGACATGAAGAGAAATCTCTCTGGATAAAATGTTTGACATTTTTTTAAAACTGAACGATTTCCTAATAAAATCTTAATATTTGTCCTATATAATTATATATAATGTACAGACTCTGTGTGTGTGTGTGTGTGTGTGTGTGTGTGTGTGTGTGTGTGTACAGACTGTAATATTATAAAAAGGTATTATTATGCTTATAAACTTCCATATTGCTCTCCTTCCAGCCTACAGAAATTATCAGAGAGTTACAGTGTCCTCTGCAAATGTACTAAGTATATGTCACAGCATGGATCCATTAAGCCCTACTGAACTGATTAGCCTATACCCAAAGCTGCATTAATGCAGCTATATTACTTCCAGTTCTGGAGCTATCCTACAAAGGTAGTGTGGCATATCTTAATATGTGCACCATATAGACATGCCCTTTGACATTCCTTACAATAAAAAAGTTTGTTGTTTAGAGTGGACAGCAGATTTGGTCCTATCAACCTAGTATAGGAGAGAATAGGAGACGTATGTAGTTATTCAAGTAACATGGGTTTTGGAAGAAGATAATTTAGCTGATTGACTGGTTAAAGTGAAACACAATTTTGGGAAACCTAAGGTGTCATTACCACTTTGTCCTTGTGGAACCAAGTGTTTGCACCAGGGAGTTCTGCCATAAGAAACTGACATTTGCTCATTCTTTAGGTTGAATTATGGTCCCCAGAAAGACCAGTGAACAGAGCACTCAGTGTACTTCAAAAGGTGCTCATAAGCTTTAGGAGGACAATTGTAGAATCATAGAAAATTAGGGTTGGAAGGGACCTCAGGAGATCATCTAATCCAACCATCTAGTCAAAGCAGGACCATCCCCAATGATGAGATCCACTAACAGAGTAACTTCTCTGACTAGTCTATAAGTGTGTATCAGGCCTTTAAAAAATCTTAGTACCAGTAGATGCAAGAATACTGAAATTGGTTATATTGGAAAGTGATAAAAATATTTCCTTCAGGTAGACCTTGACTAAACTGAAAGGGAAACTAGAAGATTTTGGTTATATTAAGTAGTCCAGAATCCTTAGTATCAAGACATGCATCAGATACAAAAAGGTGTTGGGCTCCTTGTTTTGTTATAGCTCTTCCATTTGGAGGAGCTGGTCTTTCTTTGAGCTGGGATCTGTTGATTGAACGTGGAACAGCCTCTCTGTGGCAAGCATTTAGGATGGCAACTGTAGTGACACTGGTTTAGGTGGAACACTTTTACCTGGTCTTGAAGCAGTAGGTCTGAGTAGTTTGAGAATGTCACTGGGCATCACCTGGACACATATGGCACATCTATCAACTGCA